GTCATTGTGGTAGCCGGGCACCATCTAGTTCTTCTGGTCTCAGGCTGATGAAGTCTCTGGTTTATGTGGCCCTTTCTGTTTCTTGGGCTAATACTTTCCTTGTGTCCATGGTGTTCTTCATTCTCCTGTGCTGCAGGTGGGTTGGGACCAATTAATGCATCTTAGATGGCCACTTGCTAGCTTTAAGACCTCAGACGCCACTCACCCAAGTGGGTGCAGAACATTTTCTTAAAAAGCTTTGTTATGTCTAAAAAGACCAGACTTAATGGTCTGACTGAGGCTGGAGGAACCACAGAAAGCACGGCCTCTGGATTCTCTTTCAGCCCAGAACTAGAACAGTTTCCGAGGCCAACTCTTCAGACAAAGATTGGACTGGACTGTGGGACAGAAAATGAAGAGTGTGCTTCTTAGCTCAAGTTGATACACAAGACTAAATGGGCAGCTCCTGTCCAGAGTTGAGATGAGAAGGCAGAGAGGGTCAGGAGCTGGTTGAATGGACATGGGAAATCAGGGGTGGAAAGGAGGAGTGTGCTGTCACAGTATAGGGAGAGAAGTTAGGTTCACAGAACAATGTATGTATAAATTTTTGTATAAAAGACTAATTTGAAATGTAAACTTTCACTTAAACTACAACAATAAACAAAAAAGGAAAAAAACCCAAAACTTTGTTATGCCAATTGACCTAGATGTCCCCTGAAACCATGGTCCCCAGACCCCCACCCCTGCTACTCTGTCCCGTGAAGTGTTTGGTTGTATTCAGGAAGCTTCTTAGCTTTGGTTTAGTCCAGTTGCACTGACTTCCCTTGTAGTGTGTGCTATCTGTCCCTTCACCTAAGATAATTCTTGTCTACTTTCTAGTTAGGGTTTCACTGAGTTTTTGTTGCCAGTCAATCCTGTTCTTAAAACTGCTGATAGAGATTGTGATTGTGGTCTTTAACTCCAAGATGACTTGTGAAGGATGGAGTGCATACAGCAATTTTTCATTTTTTCCCTTGTGGAATCAATTATAATACCTGCTTTTCTATTTGAATAATTTTTTAAAACAATGTTTACCAAAGACTAGCTTCTATTTTCATGGCTGGTTTACTACCTAGGTTATTTGATAGAAAAATGTCCTTAAAAGGTAATTAGAGAATTAGGGAAGAAACATAACTAGTTAAAAATGTCCATCTCTATTAATTATTATTCAGGAACACTGGTGGCGCAGTGGTTAAAGCACTCGGCTGCCAACCAAAAGGCCGGTGGTTCAAACCTGCCAGCTGCTTGGCGGGAGAAAGATGTGGCAGTCTGCTTCTATAAAGATTTACAGCCTTGGAAATCCTATGGGGCAGCTCTACTCTGTCCTGTAGGGTCACTGTGAGTTGGAATCAACTCGTCAGCGGTGGGCTTGTTTTTTTAAAATTCATTCTTATTAGTTTTCTGTTAGTTATTAAATGTTTTAATAAAGAGATTCAATTATTTTATCTACCATATTAGCAAAGATTTAAAAATTTTTAATATCCAGTTATAGCCAGGGTGCATATAAAAAAAAAAATCATGGTTGGTAGATGTGTTAAACACAAATTCTCTCTGGGCATATGTAACAAGAGCCTTAAAAGAATATACACTCTTTAATCTGGTAATTGCCCTGGGGGCTGTGGAATCCTAAATATGAAAAATGCTTTATGTACAGAGATGTGCACAGCAGCATTATTTATATTAGAGAAGAATTGAAAGTAGTAAAAATGTTTAAGAAGAGAGGATTGGGTGAGTAAACAATGGTGTATCCAGTTGATAGACTATTATACACCCACTAAAGATGTTTCCAAAGATGTTTGACAACATACACTTGGCATATTATTAACTGAAAAAAATCAAAATCAAGATATTATATATATATATTTAAAAGGAAAATAAAGAGAAATGAATAGGAGAAAAGACTAGAAAAATAGCAGTTGCTAATCTAATTTTTTTGAGGTTTTAGGAGATTTTAATTTTTTATCTTTCAACATTCTATTTTCTATACATTATCCTTAATAAGCATTTATAACTTTAAAATAGGAAAAGGAAAACAAATTAATAAATTTTATTAGGTAGTCATCCGAGAGTAATGGTTTATATTTTAATTCTTGTGCTTAAGTCTGTGGATGTTTTCTCTGACTTCAAGTTTTCTGATTCAGTGACTCATTGCTAAGGGAAGACACCAAGGCTTGTTGTGTGATAGTTCCTAGAGAAGATGTGAGACTTTGTTGGTAAGGTAGTTAAGCCTTTAGGACAATCGGATATGTGGCCGTGGTTTATGGGGCTAACATGTGACATGGTGGGGAGTACTTTACTAGGGTGTAGAAGGAGTAGAACTAGTTTAACACCCCTGGGAATTGATTACTGGATTGTCGTCGTGGGGAATTTTCCAATCTGTTTAGTGGAAATGCCAGATCTCCTATGTAAAACTGATGTGGGAGATTTTTGTCTCGTCTCTTCCTCAGCTCCCATCTCTGTCTTTCCCTCTGCCTTCTAGCATTCTCCTACCAGTTCATGTTCTGTTTCCCTTAGGAGGGAAATCTCTAATAATGCTTTTGTACAAATGATCAGTTTAATTACCTCCATCTCATTCAAATTCAGACTAGCTTTTTTTTCTTCCCCAAACATGTAATCTTATTTGATCCTGACAATTTGATCTCTGAGGTAGGAATTATTTAGTTTTGTGAATGAAGAAATGGAAAAAAAGTTCTTAGTGAGAGGGCAGTGCACGGTGGAATTTAAGACTTCATTCATGTCCCTCAAATCATAGAATAATAGTAGTAATAAAATAATAATAATAACAGCTGATACTTACGGAGCCCTTACGTTGTACCAGGCACTGTTCTAACTGCTTTACATCAGTGAGCTCATTTAATTCTCCCAGCAGTTCTATTTGTGGACTACGTTAGCCCTGATCTTAGTAAAGTACCATCTGGAAGGACCTTAGAGACCTCACCCTGGTTGTCATTTTGGACTAGGATAGATTTGCCTTTTTCTTGGGAAAACAGCAGGTTGTCAGATAACTGGAAAAAGTCAAGGGGAGAGAGAGTGCAGGTAATGGGCAGCTGTAGCATGTGAGAGAGGCATTCACCTCCAGCACTCGCTGCTACATCCTTTTTGACCTAGTGTGCCAGGATATGAAACTGTTTGCCTTGCATGTGTCTCCTGCACACATCTAACCAAGGAGGTTTGTTCTAGGTGACAGGAAAGGGGTGGGGATGCAAGTGTGAGATTTTTTTTTTAAAAAAACTGGTCACATCTTATCTTGATATAATGCAAAGAGGAGTCATTTCTGGGATGTGGAAGGTGAGGGGTAGAAATTGACTTTGCTGGCTGGACTGTGGTGTCTGCATACACGTGTATGACATGCATGTAAATGCACACTTGTGTGTTTGCCTGAGAATATTAGGGAGGAGTACAGTGGGACAGAGGGAGGTTAACAAATGTAAACCTTTGGAAGTCAGGGATTCACTCCTGCTCTTATCTCGAGCTAGCACCTAATGCAGTGTGTGACACTGAGTAGGGTCCTTAGTAAAGGTTTGCTATAGTTCCAGTGCCATGGAGTCAGTCTGACTCATAGTGACCCTACAGGGCAGGGTAGAACTGCCCCATAGGGTTTCCTAGGCTGAATCTTTAAGGAAGTAGATTACCAGGTTTTTTCTCCCGTGGAGTGGATGGTGGTTTTGAACTGCTGACCTTTCCGTTAGCAGCCAAGTGCTTTAACCATTGCACCACCAGGGCTCCTTACTTGAACTAAACCCCTATAAAGCTGGAAACCACTGAGAATTCAGAGGGCTCCCGTGGTGTTTAAGCCTTCTGCTTTTCCTCCCTTTCTTCACAGAGCTGCTGCCGCCCCCTTCTGGGGTTGGTGGGTTGTCACTGATGCTTTTTAACTTCAGATTGTCCTTCATGTTGTTAAACTTGAATCTGCAAATCCAGCGACTTTTGAGGCCTGGATGGAGATTCAAAACACACCTGAGGTCTTGCTTTGACTCAGTTGGTAGCTTGTGTTTTGAGAGAGGCCCTGTTTTTGGAGATAATACATAATCAGAGGGATTTGCAGAGGGGTTTGGCTTTAATGGGGCTGGGGTTGAAAATGGGCTTATTCTGTTGAGATAGTTCTAGTGGAAAGATGACTGCATTGAGAATCAGGAGAACTCAAATCTAGACCAGCCATACGACCTTGAGCATTGGTTTTCTGGGCCTCATTTTTCTTTTCTGTCAAACAAGGAGGCTTGGCCAGGCTGGTTGTTTTCCAGAGGGGATGATGGACTTCAACAGCGGATGGAGCTTAAGCACCAACCCCTTCCACGCTCAGCCTCTATCCCACTTCAGAACAGCTCCTCTTTAAGCTGTTTTGTATATTGAGTGTTGTCTTAGTTTCTACTTGCTGCTGTAACAGAAATACCACAAGCGAGTGGCTTTTAAAGAACAGAAGTATATTTTCTCACAGTTCAGGAGACCAGAAGTCCAAATTCAGTGTGTGGCTGTAGGGGGAGGTCCTTTCATTGTCTGTTTCAGCTTCTGGTAGCCGGCAATCCCTGGAGTTCCTGGGCTTGTAGATTCATCTGCCTCCGTTGTTATGAGATAGAGTCTTTCTTCCCCCGATGTACCTCCTTGTCTCTGTCTGTGCTGCTCCTTATAACTCAGAAGTGATGAAGTTTAGGACATACTCTACACTGATATGGCCTCATTAACATAACAAAGAAAACCCTAATTCCAAACAGGATTACATCCACAGGTATACCCGTTGCTGTTGAGTAGATTCCGACTCATAGCTACCCTTTTCCAACATACATTTTTCGTAATAGGTGTCAAATAAGATTTCACAGGAAGAAAAATGTCCTCAAAAGTTGGAAAGCCACTGGACTAGATGATCTCTGAGGTCCCTTCCAGCTCTAATGGTGTGATTTTATGAACTTGAAAAGTGAGTCAGAGAGTTGAAAGCTGAAATCATAGTGCCAAAAATATGGCTCTGTAATACTGTGGATGTTTTGCAGGCCGACAGTCCCGAAGACATGCACAGCTGGATTAAGGAGATTGGGGCAGCTGTCCAGGCCCTCAAGTGCCATCCTAGAGTAAGTCACTTCCTTTCTGTTGCACAGTTAGTGTCAACTTAGTGATGAATTCTCCTTGAGTGGGCATGTTTTATTTGGTGATGTAGGCAAGCAACCCAGTCCCTGGATGCAGCTGAAGCCCCAAGCTGTCTTGTTTGTTTTTCTTGTTCTACAGATTTGGGCACAAATTTTTATTTTCTGTTTTTTTTGGTTGTTGGAGGAGGTGAGGTAGGGTTGGGTAGAGAAGCGGAGTTTTTGATGTGTCTTACAAGTCTCACTGCCAGGCAGATCTTGACACCAAGGTCAGACACATTTGGAGTAAATTCTGTTGAACGTATTTGATTTTTGTGGACAAAGGTCTTTGGATTCACAAGGTGGTGATCCTAGGTTGGTGCTTTTCCTGGGACTTTGAGAGTAAGTGGTGTCAGGCAAAACCATTATTTTTCTTCGCCTCTTTATTTTTCCCTTTTATTTTTGTAGGAAATGTCCTTTTCTAGATCGATTTCTTTGACTCGACCTGGAAGCTCCAGCCTCTCAGGTGTGCCGAACTCCATTTTGTATAGAGGGCGGCCACCTGCGGAAGAGAAAAAAACCCTCTGCAAAGCCCCCTCTGCGGCCTCCTCCTGGCAACCCTGGACACCTGTGCCCCAGGCCAGGGAAAAGATGCTTCCAGCTGAAGAGACTCCCGAGGACTCTTTGATCATGCCTCGACTTGGGGAGAGCAAAACTGCTGGCGTGTTGCCGAGCTCCCGGATAAGGCACAGATCGGAGCCCCAGCACCCTAAGGAGAAACCATTCATGTTCAACCTCGATGATGAAAATATACGGACCTCTGATGTGTGACGAGGCACAGTGCCATGGGAGGGAGGGAAGGGTCAAGAGGAGGAGGCCATGAATTGGTTTCTCTACCTTTTTGGGGGACACTCAGAGGCACTCATGTTCCTGTGGATTCTCTGTGGGTGGGGCCCATCCTGCTGGCTTTTTTTTTTTTTAATATCAATGCAGTGTATTTAATTTGGGAAGATCAGTAGGTTAGACCTGTAGACATGCTCAGTAGAGAGCAGGTTGCCTCTTGTTGACTATTCCAGGGTCTTCCTGGTGAGGGGTTATTTTAGTCCAATTTCTCCCCTAACCAGGTTTTATTTCCTTGTCCTTGTTTTTGTTTCTTCATTTTGTTTTCAGGCCAGGTCCCAAATCTTAGGCCAGTCATCTGGTTTTATCCTATTCCTATTTATTGGCTGAAGTTTGACTGTGAAATAGGAAGGGATGGTAACTAACCCAGCTGAAATGAGGAGGTGGGGTGGTGGAAGACTCAGCGTGACTACGATCTGTTCTGAGGGAGATGTCAAAGCCTGAGGGTCAGGGCTAGAAGGTGGCCCTCGGGGGACTAGGGGACTGTCTACTAGGGTAGACTCCCCAGGGGACCACATAAGGGGAGAGAAAGGGATGTTTTGTAAGGTATGAGGAATAATTCAACCCCAGCGCATCATCAACAGTTTTGGAAATTACTGTTGTTCTCTTCTAGATGCTCTTTTCTAGAAGTTCAAATACTGTAGAGCCCTCATTGGGACATGAGTGATAGATCTACCCACCCAGTTTCTGTGTCAGGCCCCAAGGATGGGTTTATCAGTGTTAAGTGTTATGGTTGTTGAGAGCATGGAATGCGTGGAAGGTTGATAAGTGTATGATAAATCACACGTGTGATAAGTGCGATCTCTATTTCAGAGTTTTAGATTAGCTTTAAAGCAGGTGCTGTGAAGAGATGGATTATAGGTTATCCAGTTAAGCTTTTTTGGTCCATGTTTTCCAGGCAGGAGAAAAGGTCTGTTTTAGCAAAGATTATCTTGAATCCTTGCCTTGCCTCACAGCTCTTTTTTTATGGGCCATTATTAGCCTAATTTTAAGTGCGGTGTATTTTATATCCTGGTAGATTTGCTTTCTTTTTATACTTTGTGTTGCCTTTGAGTGAAATCTTGTGTGCTTGCATGATCTAACCCTGTAATCTAAGAGGTTCCATTGTATTTAACAGCTAAGAGATACAAAGGTAATCTTGAGATTTATTTTTTAATAAAATAGAAACTGGGTCTAGAAACATTGACTTAGAGGTTATGAGTTGCTGGCTAGCGATTTGCCAGGTAGAAGAGCAAAGAAGATTGTTTCCTACGCAAATTTTAGGATATACTTTCTTCCAGTTGACGAGAAGATACTATTTTCTGTGTCTGTGGAAGAATTTGTCCATCCAATTTACGTGGTGATTTGCAACCAGGAACCTATTGGGGTTCCCTATGGGGAGAGAGACCTTAGTGCATTTCTGTCTATAACTTGTATCAGCTAGATCACTTATATTTTTAAATTAAAAATTAATGACTAGAGGAAGAGACTAAAAGAAGCACTTTTATCTGAATAAATCACCTCCCCTCCTTGTGTCCAAATTTAGTGTAGAGGCAGAAAACACTTGATTAGAAAATTCTTAGTGGCTTGAGAGGAATCTTCTTGTCTTTCTTTTAGGCTGTTATCACACTGATGTCTGTGTCACATTGAGAACTTTTCTTGATAGCACTGCATCGGCACTATCCTTAATCTAAACTTGATTTGACCTAGTGGTCCTGGTATGAAAAACAGAAAGCTACTGCTGAGTCAGTCAATCAATCAGTCTCTCTCTCGTCTACAGATTCTAGTGTACTTTTGTCGTCAGAAATGCTTAGTTTGTGAATTATTTAATTATGTGTGATTGAGATTACAATATACTTTGAGTAGCCTGATTTCAAGAAGTCATTCCATATTCTTAAAGCCCCCCGTGTCTCGTTTTACCTTTAAATTTTCTTCAAGAAAACCTTTGGGCTAGGCAAAGAATTACAGAGTCTGTGATGCTGAACTAATGAAAATAGGAACTTTTGATATCTCTCTAAACATTCATTGATTTATGGAGATGTCATCTTTTGGGATTTAAGTTATGAAAAGTCTTTTTTAATATACTCTGCTAGATTACTACTGCTAAATTAATTGGCTATTTAGAGTAAGCTGATCTGTTTCATATTCAGTAAAGTCTATTTTGAGAATGTGTGAAATTAAACATATAAATCCAGATTGTATTATTTTGATAGAGAGAAAACAAGGACTCTAATTGGCAAATACTTGGGAATTCCAGATGACAGCATTGTTAATGTAATTTCAGCATCAAATATAATTATCTTCAGTGAAGCCATCTAAAAGCATTCACATTCCCAAACGTTTTTTCAAAATTCCTTTTTTGCCCATATTTCTTACCTTCTGGCTAGTCTCATACCACACCTGTTAATGTCAGTACACATGTTAGCCAAAGATGCTGCATATTCAACCAAAGCACTTGGTTTGAAATGGAACCAACTGGAAAAAATAGAGCGGGTATGCAGTATAGGTTAGTGATTAAATGCAGGGGCTCTGGAATAAATATGAGTTAACAACAAAAAGGAACCAGAAAAAGTACTGCATTTTCTTTGTGGACTAAAAACCTTCACTGAGTTGGGCTGTTTCCATAAGGCTTTTGAGCTGGTTCTTGACCCATCACGTATTACAGTATTTCAGGTGGTCTTCCCTATAGTTGAACTGTTTACCAGCCACCATTCTTGAAAGCTTTGAAGGACTTGCTTACTCAAAGTCAGTTGATGATTGGTAAAAATAGTTTGGCTTTTTGCATTCTTTGAGACATTACAAGAGTACTATTAAGGAGTACATTGTGTAGAGCGCTTTCAGGTCAAAATACTGGATTTACACACATCAATTTCTGAGTAGAATGATGAGCTCTGGTGAGAAAGAGAGTAGATTTAAGGTTCAGTGTCTTTGCTCACTTGAAACAAAGGAGCTTTTCCTTCCACACTCTGATAGGGGCTAAAATGACCCAATGAATAAACAGCAGATTAAGTCGTTGAGCAGTGGGATTTGATGTTTGTTCTCCCAGTTAAGTCACACAACAGGCATATGGAGGTAACAGCACTTTAGGAATTGAGTTTCCCAAATCAACTTTGTTTATAAACTTTGAACATGTCAGAAATGGACCAACTTATTAAACATTTTCTACAGGCATCGCTTTTTTTCCCCTATTCATTTTCCTCTCGTCTGTGTTATTGCCTGCAGCCGTCAATTACACTCTCACCTAGAGTCTGAATAAAGCTTATGTCTAGCAAAAACATGCCGTTTGAGCCCCCTTTCCCACTGCTTATGGTGTGGCATGATTTTGTGTTTTGAACCAGTATGTTTCAGTTGTGAAATGCACTCGCCCAAGGCACTGAGCTGAGTGCACGGAAACTGTTAACGCTTCTCATTTTATGTGATCTCCTAACTGGTATGTAACAAAAAATAATGTTTCTAAAACTGTCTTGTTGCTTGTTTTATAATAAAACCATGTGAAATACTGAAATGCGGTTGTTGTGTTTTCCTAACGCTGACCTCTGTCCGTGGGTGGGTGATCAGTCTGCCCCCATGATTGGTTTTATGGATTTCATGAGGTAGGTGCCTGCTCAGGGTAGGGCTAGGGTCCTCTTTTTTATTGCCTGGGGGTGGGCCTGGCCCCGGGGTGGAGGCAGGGAGATATGAGGGGGGCAGGGGGAGAGGTCTGCCAGACTCTGCCCCTTAAACTCCGGGAGTTGGCGGAGGCGACACCCTGTCCCAGAGGGAGTGTTGCTCGTTTTTAGAGCTGTTGCGGGTAGAGTGGCGTCACTGGAAAGGTGGAAGGGAAGAGAAAAGGAGCAGGATGACTAGACCTCAACTGTGGCCAGCTGGGCTCGGGCAGTTCCTCCTGATGGGGCTGCTGCTGCCCCCGGTGCCTGTGTCCAGCGTCGAGGCGAGGAGATTCAGGACTTCGCATCCCTGCCCCGCGGCCTGCGAGCCGACGCGCTGCCCTCAGCTGCCCACCTGCTCGGCGTGGATGGCGCCGCTGCTGGACCGCCGCGGCCGAGGGCGAGGCTTGCGGCGGAGCGCGCGGCCGGCTGTGCGCCGCGGGGCTCTAATGCCGCTTGGCGTTCAGCCCCGGGGGCCTCGGCGGCGGGTGGCTCGGCACTTGGGGCTGCCCAGCTGCAGGAGAGGCCGTGTGCCGCAGCGACCGGGGCACCTACGCTAGCCTGTGCGCGCTCCGCGCCGAGAACTGCGGCGCGTGCCTCCGCTACGCGCTCCCGGACGTGCCCGTGCAGAAGGGAGACTGTTGGGACCCAGGTGAGCGGAAAATCGCGCGCGCTCCCGGAGAACTTTTTTTTTGAAGTTTCTTAAGGAGCGTAAATAAACATGACCGTATTTCAGTCGCACAGCTCGCCGCGGGGTCCTCCCTGAGGTTCTGTTTGCCTCATATTCTTATTCCCGAATTTCTTTACTCCTTATAGGTGCCTCTTTACTGGTTCCCATGTGGTTTCCTTCCCTTTTCCTCCCCACACCATTTGAATGCTCTCTTCCCTTTTTAAATTTTTTTCCAACCGGGGGTGATAGGTCTGGCCCTCTTAAAGCATATCCTCACAAGACCGCAGTGAATAAACACGCAAAGAGACCAAAGAGAAGAAGAAAAGGGAAAATGGAGAGGGAGGTAGAAGAGAGAGATTGAGACGTTTGAAATACGACACCTGATAAGGTAAGGGAGCGAGGGTCCCCACCGCCCACAAAAATGGAACATTTCTTCACAGGGATCGGAAGGGCAGGCTGGCGCAGGAGCAAGTACAACTTCAACGCCGCTGCGGTGGAGAAGGTAGCGCCATCTGTGGTTCACTTACAGCTGTTCCGCAGGTAAAGGAGGTAGGAGAAAGACGTCAACTACCACAGCGATTTGGTGCCTACCCTGCTCTGGGTCCTGCGCGACTGCTTTGTAAGCATCATTTAATCTTAACCGCAGTGAGGAAATCGAGGCGCAAAGAGGTTGAATAACCTGTTCAAGGTCGTTTCGCCAAAGAGCTGAGGCACAGGGATACTGACTTCCAAATCTGGGCTGCTCCTCTGCACTTGGATAAGCTGGTGTTTGTCCCTCATCTCTCACAAACAGAACTTAAGGTCAGATATAAGAGCTAGAAGTTACCTTACTGGTGATCTTGTCCAGCCCCTTTGTTTGCATGGAAGGAAACTCAGACCCAGAGAGGGAGATTCATTTATTCTACGTCACACCAAAAAAAAAAAAAAAAAAACCACTACAAAATGACAGCAATAAACTCATATCTATCAATAATTACAGTCTAATCATGAGAAAAACATCAGACAAATCCCAGTTGAGGGACATTCTTCAAAATACCTGACCAGTACTCCTTAGAATTGTCAAGCCATCACACACAAGGGAAGTTTGAGGAATTGTCACAGTTAAGAGGCACTCAAGGAGACATGACAACTAAATATAATGATGTATCCTGGAACAGAAAAAAGGACATTAAATAAAAACTAAGGA